GGTTCCCGCCCAGCGATCGCGGGGGAATCGCCGAGCGTCGCGGTAGCTGCCTTGGGGAACGTTTCGTTATTTTTTTCTGAATGTAGCGTCGGTGGAGGCTGTCAGTCCTGGGGGAGCTTAGGCCAGGCAGAGCTTGATGTGGGGAGCTGTGGAAGTGTGGTGCAGGACGGGGTATCCGAGGGCAAGGGGAGGCCTTAAAGGCTGTAAGAGGGAGGGAGAGAGGCAAGGTCTTCATTTAAAAAGCACTTCGTAGTTACGCTGAAAAATCTAACTGAAGCTCCTTTCAAATTGTGCTTGCTAATAAATGATGCAGCTTGTGTGTTGCATATTAACTCTGTGATGTTTTGTTTCTATTCAGTTTTTTCTTGCATGTCCCAATTGCTAATTTAATTAAATTATGAAATAAGTCATTGTATTTAAATTATTGTTGTTGTTAGATATATTTCTCCCAATTGCTGGCTTAAAATGCCTGCTTTTCTAAAGCAATTCGTACCAGTTCAGCCCAACCTAGTATTTAACAAAATTTCTACTGCAACGTGACAGCAATATGCAGGTGTATTTGTAGGATTGCTTTTGCATTTTTAGGGCTTGGGAGAAGGTGCTTTTTAGTTTAAAAGATCTTTCTTTAAGAAAAAAGATCTTTAGTTATAAAGATCTTTCTTAATGTCTTCTGTCCATTTTTTTGACAGGATGAAGCAGGGATCCCAGGTATACTAGTTGGAGTTTCTGTAGACGGAAAGGAAGTCTGGTCAGAAGGTTAGTGTATGGGAGCAGAAGTTGTGCATGCTGTTGGGAAGCGATGAATGTTTTAAAAATTGGGACAACTGGGACACAGTAGTCAGGCTGAGATTTCATCCACTTGATGTCCCATCTCCACACAGTGGCCAGAAACAGGTGCCTGGGAAGTATGCAGTGACACTTTTTCTGGTAAATGTCAGTAATTTCCAGGAATCAATTACTAACTTTCTGAATGTGCTAGTATGTCTCAACAGTTATGCTTAAGAGCCTTCCTTCCATTAATTTGTCATATCGGTCTTTGAATATACTTATACTCCAGGCATACAGCTGTACAGTGATCTGGTAGAATTGCATATAGAAGGTAAAGAACTGTTCTCCCTGCAGGAACTGACTTAACAGTCGAAGTAATAAAGGCTCACATTTGATGATCTGTCTCCCATTTGTCGGCTGAGGTGTATATTTTTACTGGGAAGGTACTTAGATCTAACAGGTGTCATCCTTCTAGAAATTTCAAATGATTTTTCTGATTCCTCGGTTTAGCTAGTTTTAAATAGAATATGTTAGTACTGCTCATATCATGTAGACATTTGATGTTTATTTAAAAAAACCCATCAAACTGTGTGTGTGTCTTCAGAAACATTTTAATAAAGTGTTCTGGGTTTTTTGGACAACTTAAATGGGAGGAGTAAATGGCAACATATTTAATTATTGTGTTACAGAATTTGAAAATAATGCTACCAGACTTGTGGGTTGGTTACATAGGAAAAGGCCGGTATGGAGACTATTAAGCTGTCTCTTAACTGAAGTAATGCTGAGTGATGTTGAAACAACTGGTTTGTGAAGCTTTACAGCTTAGGTAATTGCTACAAGTTTGTGAGCAATTTCCTTTCTCAATTTCTGTATTGATAAAATAGGACCCTTTGCTGTTTCAACCGTTAATTCAGAACAATAAAAGGATTATTTATGACTCTTGGTCAGTTACTTTACAGTCTAGATTTTGGTCTCTTTAGTTTTTCTACATTGAATATTTGACCTCAGGAGTGTAAACTTTGGTTTAATCTTCAATCTTATTTATCATTAAGTTTGTTTTGTAGACTTAAGCAGTAACTTCGGATGCCATTGGCCAGTACAATAGATTTTGATTAACTATTCCTACTACATTAAAATGTTATTAACTTAATTTAAGCAGGAGCAGGAATATAGTCCAATGCTTCACATCGCAGATTATATAGAGGAAAAACATTTTAAAGGGCCAATAAATCTATTTCACTGCAAATAATTAATTCGGCATGTCTCTATGTAAAGTATTTACCATAGTGTTTTTATTTTTTTAAAGGTTTGGGTTATGCTGATGTAGAGAACCGTGTGGTATGTAAGCCAGAGACGATCATGCGAATTGCTAGTATTAGCAAGTGTCTTACAATGATGGCTGTTGCTAAATTGTGGGAAGAGGGGAAACTGGATTTAGATGCTCCAGTGCAGAAATACGTCCCTGAATTTCCAGAAAAAGTGTACGAGGGTGAAAAGGTACGTACTGGTTTATTGGTAACGCTTTTTTGGATTTTCATTCCTGTCGTTGCACAGCCATATGTGTACAGGTGCCTGTATCTGGACCTGTTCCTGTAAAACACCAAAAATCATTTAGACAAGTACTGATGTTTACTTCTCGAAAAAGCAATGCTGGAAACTTGCATCTTCAGTTTTGTATCAAGTGTGTAGTGTGCACATATATATGTATATATTTTAACTAATTCATTAATAATGTATATATTTTAACTAATTCACATACATGACATTTGAAAGGTCTTCCTTGTCTGTTCCTCATGATGTTGAATTCTACTTTTCTGATCATTTAGTGTGCATCATATCTTTAATGAAGAGAGCTCACATTGAAATTTCTTTCTGCCTAGGTCACTATTACAACAAGACTGTTAGTTTCACACTTGAGTGGGATTCGTCACTATGAAAAAGATATTACAAAAGTAAAGGAAGAAAAGGAAAAGGCAAACAGAGCATTTAAACTAACAAAACCCTATCAGGATAAAGAACAAAAAGAAAAAGAAGGCAAAGAGATTGAAAAGACTGATTCTGTGAAACTGAGGAAAGAACACAAAGGTGAGGTAAAAAGCCGAAATTCAAAACCTGGCAGGAGAGACAAGGAATTTGAGCAAGAAGAGTATTATTTGAAGGAAAAATTTGAAAGTGTGATTGAATCACTGAAGATATTTAAAAATGATCCTTTGTTCTTTAAACCAGGTGAGTTTCTATTCATTTAGACCAAAATGTGCTCTTCTGGTAAAATTTTTTGTTTCAAATTGTTTTACATGCAGTGAGGGCAGTAGAGGCCAGTAAAGAGTGTTTGTGTGGGGTTTTTGTTTTGTTCTGCTTCTCCCTCTTCCCCCTTTTTTTTCGTTTTTCTTTTTGTGCCCCATTAAAAGCCCAACAGAGAAGTATTTGGGCTGTTCTGCACAAACCATCTGGTCAGGTAATTGCCTTAAAATGAGGTAACTTTTGAAGACTGAACTGATTTTTATCAGTTCAATTTTAGATAAGTCTTGTACAGATTTCTTTACCAATCTACTGACTTAAAGAATTATGCTTATATAGATACCTTCTAATGGTGTATCTGCACCATAATCCTGGGGATTCAAAATGTGAGGTAGCTAAGACTTCAAAGGTAATACAAAGAGTCCCAGATAATGCAGGAGAAGAGTAAGTAAGATCTCGGGTAGAAATAAGACTTCTTCTGGGAGCTCTAAGTAATGCAGTAAGAGCTATGAAATGTACCAGTTACTGAATTTATAAATGCTAAAGCAGATTATAATTTTGGTAACTAATTTGTATCTACAGAGTATTTTGTAAGCTGATACCAACTTGCTATATTCATGCTCAGGGCCCTCTAGATATGAACCAAAAGCAAAAAAATTTAGTGAGGCACTGAACTAGAGCTAAAACATTCCACAGAATCACAGAATTGTTGAGGTTATTGTTAGAATTATTTATAAGTTAATTCTGGAGAGGACTTTGAGGAACTTCAGGTGTAAGTTGTAAATGAGTTCGGTTAGCAGGCAAAAGATAAGCATTGCTGATAAACAGTAAGTAACGTGCATTTAAGGGGGGGAGAGGGGTAGGAAGGGGGAGAAGTTAACCACTTACCATCTTGGAGAGTTCTAGGAACCATTGCAAGTAAGGGATCTGTCTCAACTGTAGGCAGTTCGGCAGTTGCTTAATATGTATATGTTTTATAAAAGGCACTAGTGCAAGAATGAGATTCAAAAGAAGAAACATTGTTTTGTAAATAAATTACATAGTCTTATGCATGTTACTGTTCATGTAATCTTTCAGGATATTCTAGAACTAGAAAACTAGAACTAGGAACACTATGATGAAAGTGATCAAGACTTTTGAAAACCTTGAGCGAGTACTACCCTTGTCTTTCCATCTCTAGAATATAGAGACAGAAACAAGTCACAGTAGGCAAGCATCTTTTAAGAAGTAATTTTATGGTTTGCTTCAGCTTTCCAAATTCAGATATCCTTGTTAGAACTGGTATGGTAAATCTTGTGGAAAGGATGTTAAATGTCAGTCTTCACATCTTGGCATGAAACCTGGCTGTACATGCAGATCCCTGAAAACTTTTTAGCGCTGTTCTCAGAGCTACCTGCAGTTAGCAGAAGTGTCTGTGTCTGCTGCTACAGAAATTCCTAGGGCATAGTATCATAAGCTTGTGATTCACATCATGTTAAAATGGGGGTGGAGATGGGGTCTTTCAATTGATTATTCATTGCTATATATAGTTTTGTTTGCACATGTGATTACTTACATTTTTATCCTTCAGATTCCTCTTAAGCATCACGTGTCTTAACTCCACCCCCCCGCCTTTCTCATTGTGTTTCTTCAAGGTAGTCAGTTCTTGTATTCAACGTATGGCTTTACTCTCTTAAGTGCTGTTGTGGAGAGAGTTTCAGGACAAAAATTTACAGATTACATGCTAAAAATGTTTCGTGATTTGGATATGCTATCGACTGTACTAGATGACAATGAAGCAATGATATATAACAGAGCAAGGTAAACTTTTTGTTTCCCCACAACAACTGTTGCTCTTTCTATCTTTATTAAGCAAACTGAATTAAGAATGCGTGATCTTTGGTTTGGTTTGGGTTTTTTTTCCAGGTGTTTAAATGAAGTGGCTTATGTTATTTCAAAGTTAGTCATGTAACTGATTTTATGTTAGCATTATGATACTGGTTCTGTAGTTAGCATGTAAAATTACAGAATAGGAAATCAGTATTTCCTGTTACAAGAGTATATATGAGGGGGGTGGCAGGGGTGACTTTGTAGTTTGCATTTATTTTGGATACAAATGAGCAGGTATGTGTAAATAGAGTAGAATAAAGGACTAACTAGGCAATTATGTTACAATATATAGTTACCTTGGTTTGCTTAATATACTGTGGAGTTCTGTGGAATTGTAAGAGTCTCACAGTAACACAAGGTTTGCATATATTAAATTGTAATATCAATTTTAACTAGACTTAAAATTCAGAACATCCTTTACCAATTGATTTCTTTTTAGTAACTTAAAAAAATAAAACTACAAAAAAAAAAAAAAAAAGAGAGAAATTTCCCTAACTGGATAATCCATTCCAATATAGTGGATAAGGGTAGAGTTTCTTGTCTTTCTCTCCAGTCTCCTTTTATTGACCTACCTGTCTGGGCCCTGAAATTGGTTTACCGACTCGCCTGTTAAATTTTGGTGCAGGAGAAGGATTTTAACTGAGTCACAAGAGGAGGTTATGGAAAAAGTCTCATGAAAATGAGACTCAAACTTTTTAGAAGTTTGGCTTCTAAAATGCTCTTGAATGAAAATGGTGATGAACATGTTGAATGCAAGGTTTATAGTACTTATATATGTGTATATTTTAAAAATGTGTGTATGTACATGTTTCTAATTTGTATTTTAATGACAAGTTTTGCAAGACTCCTTCATGCTTCTCATTTTCCTTAGTAGTTCCAGACTATTCAGTTGTTGCAAGCATCTGTAATGGGGCAGTGGGGGGAAATTGGTCATAAATGGAAACTACTGCCTCAGAGCAGACACCTAAGACTTCAGTGAAATTTCAGCTCAGTGTCTGATAATCATGGAGTAGTTGTAGGATTCCTCTTTCTTAACGCACTTTAAATCTATAGGTATAGGTATCTAAGAAAAATCCTGGGCTGGCAGATATACAGATTTCTGTCACATCTCTTATTTGTATATTGCCTTTACTCTTGGTATACCCTAAGAGTAAGTAGAAGGGTGAGCACTTTTATTGAAACTAAGCTTCTAACCTTTAGTTTTTGTTCTCCCATCTGAATTTCGGGGGTCAGCCTCTTCTCCCTGGTAACAGATGATAGGACGAGGAGGAATGGTTTGAAGCTGCACCAGGGCAGGTTTAGGCTAGACATTAGGAAAAACTTCTTCACCGAAAGGGTTGTCAGGCTCTGGAATGGGCTGCCCAGGGAGGTGGTAGAGTCCTCATCCCTGGAGGTATTTGAAAGAAGGATGGATGAGGTGCTTAGGGACATGGTTTAGTGGTGGGATGGCAGGGTTAGGTTAACAGTTGGACTCGATGATCTCAAAGGTCTTCTCCAACCAAAGTGATTCTATGATTCTATGATTTCTTGTTGATTTTTCTGCAAGAAACTTATTTAAGAAAAATATATTTTAGAAAATTTCTAATGTTTAATGAGAACAAGCTAATGTGTGCTCAGATTGTTCTTTTAAGGTAGGGCAGCTTAAAATCGTTGTGCATAGTATCTGAGAATGACAAGTTGAATTTTCTTGAATTTTAGGTGTTACGTTTACAACAAAAAGGGACGGCTGGTAAATGCACCGTATGTGGACAACTCTTACAAGTGGGCTGGTGGTGGTTTTCTGTCGTCAGTAGGTGACCTTCTGAAATTTGGAAATGCCTTGTTATACAGTTATCAAGCTGGACAGTTTAAAAACACTAATGGCAAACTTCTTCCTGGGTACCTCAAACCAGACACAGTTGCAATGATGTGGACCCCAGTGCCAAAAACGGAAGTATCATGGGACAGGGATGGTAAATATGCAATGGCTTGGGCTGTAGTAGAGAAAAACCAACAATATGGCTGTTGCAGACGGCAGAGACGCTATGCATCTCATACGGGTGGTGCAGTGGGGGCGAGTAGTGTCCTCCTGATTCTCCCTGAAGAGCTGGACTCTGAAACTATAGCTACTGGGCTAGTGGCACCACCTAGAGGAGTAATTGTTAGTATTATCTGCAATATGCAATCAGTTTCACTCAACAGCACTGCCTTAAAGATTGCAAGGGAATTTGATAAAGAAAAATGGGTAAATACATAGATTAAAAAGATACGTGTAACTGAACTCACTGTATTGAAACAAAAAACAAATGGAGAAGGGTGGAATTTGACTCTGTGGTCACTAAGAATACGTGAAGAAAAAGCATAAAAAATTCACTTAATTAACTTCTGCTAGTGGTGCTAAACTTATGTGGAACTGGAATTCATCTCTCAGGGAAGTTCCTAACTTACAGAAAAGGAGAATGTAACAGTCAAATTTGACTTCCTGTAATACCTGTGTAAATTATCATTGTATTAGGGGTTCTTTTTCCTCATCCAGTCAAACACTTGACCAAGGTTAAAAAAACTAGCATTGGTTTCTTGCACTGAGAAGTATAACAACAAATTATCTACCTTAAATGTTAAACTTCCAAAAAAATTTCTCATCTTGATTTGAGCACACAAAGATGTAATTTGTTATTCTCACAGTCTGCCAAAACTCTTCAGTATTACTTTTTAAAGAAAAAATGGTTTTACTGTTGATTTCTCTATTTTCATGTAGCGCTTTTCTTATTTGCTTAAAAAGCAAAAAAACCCTGACAAAACCCAAATCTTGCAAGCTACCTCCAAAATGCAGATTTATACCAGGAGTATGCTTTTGTCAGAGCTGTGGATTATTAAGAGTTAGAAAAGAATGAAACTAGAGTAATGTAAGTAAAAAATCTATTTGTTATTTAGATGTCCTCTCTCCCATTTTTATTGCGCACAGGGAATGTGTGAAACTAGTTTACTGTGAAATAAGGGTATTACTTCCACAGATGAATATGCCCGAACAGCACAACATGGTAAGGTGTCAAACTGTCTCATTGTTTTTGAATGATACACGTGCTATAACTTTGCTAGCCAGAAATGGCACTGTATTCTGTAATGTAGATGTTCCTTTAGATACAGGAACTTATATAACTCAATAAAATTTAAAGCCCATTCTTGAAGCCAGTAGTAGAAGTCTCAGAGACTTTGAGAGGTTTTTTTGAAAACCACCCCTTTTTCCATTTGGAGACCTGCCTCAAGGAGTTACTTTTGCACAAGGTTGAACAAGAAGTGGCAATAGAGTTCCAAAGAAGCATTTCCTAATCTTCAATTTTACTGTAGGAATACAATAACATCATGTTAATTTTATATATTCCTCAGACGGTATTTCCAGGCTGAGACAAAATAAAATATCTTTCAGGAAAGGTTTGAATACTTAAATCCCTGCACTGTTTAGCAGCTCTGCTTCTCTGAATTTAAGAAGCATGAGGTCTTGGATAACAGCTAGCAGAAGGTAGCCTTACCTGCCTCTTTCCCAAGTTCGTGCTTTTAGTATTGATTTTGCAACTGTTACCTGCCCTGTGATGAGACAACATGCTGTCATCTCCGTTTCCAGTATGCCTATGATAACGTTTATTAGCTAAGACTGACAAATGAGGAAATTTAGTATTTTGAGGTATCAGTGTTTTACCTACATTTTTAATTGAAGCTACTAAGACTGGTTTAGTACTCTTCATAATTACTATCATTCTTGTGCCTTAAAACAGTAAAAGTTTACACCTAAACTATTTGCTTGGGTTTTCTGGCCCACTCACCAAAACTTCACTTTCTTTATTCATTAATAATGGGCTGTCTTTATTTCAAGAATGTCAAATCAGTGGAGACAACAGAGAACCTTTCTGAACAAACTTTCATTTAGTCAGGCAATAAATTATCTATTCTTCCACTGAAGTCTTTGATATTGTTTGACAGTTCCAATACAGAAGTACTGGAGGTCAGCGTCTTCTACAATAGCAACATTTTTTTTTTTTTTTCCAGTTTTGAGCACATGCTAGCTGGGTAAACATGCAGCAGCAGAAGTCATTGCCCATTTTACACAGGGAACAAGAGTAAGTAGTTCTGAGGTGTTTTCATGTTGAAGAATACATGAATAGAAATAGACCAAATACTATGTTTTAAATACAGAAAATCTGAAAAGTAACTGTTATTTTAGGATTTATAACATACTTTTATGATGCATCTGTTTTGCAAATGGTATTTATTGTTTTTGAAAGCCATTTTGCATACTTGAGAGAAAATCAGTTTCACTCACTGACTACTATGTTTGGGTTTAGACAAAGACTGAGAATGTAGGCGTAGGTTTACCATTATGCTTGTCTGCCTATGACTGAACACTAGTAAATGTAAATATTTGAAGTATGTATGAAAGTGCATAATGGTAAGAAGTGTCTAAGGCATTTCTAACACCAAGGTATTAATGACAGTGCCTCACTCCCCTTATAGAGTATGTTTAGTCACCAACTTCTTACGTGCATACCATGTTCTTTATACTGTATCTCCTGTAACTTAAGGATTTTTAAAACAACTCTGTTGTTACATGTAGAGTATTGGAGATACTATGATGTCTAAAATTAATCTTCCAGTACCTGGAACAAAATAGGTCACTGACATTTTCTGATTTGGTATTTACTTAGTCATGAATTGTTATCTTCCAGAGCAGAGGAAGAAAAGGCAGAGATATGGGAGACTAGGAATCAGTCTGGCCTTAGCACATGTATTCAGGTCACAAGTGAATTAATATTGCTACTTCGATCTTTGTTCTGTAACCAGTTACTTGATGGACTGGCATTAAGTGTGGGAAACTGGTCAATTAAGAGCAGGTTTCATTATAAGCTTGCTCTTAAATTAACCTTTATTGTGAAAATGCAGTATGGCACTGACATAAAACTGTACTTTTCTTAAAAGGCATGTATACTAAGTTGGTGCATCTATTTCTGTATCAAACACCTACTTTTTGCATCTGGTAATTATAAGTGTTCGCTATTTGAATTAACTGAAATAAAACTTGCAAATGCAACAGATGTGTAATACCAAGTTTTGGGGTTTTTTATTGACTAGAAATATACAAGTTTTTAAAGTGTAAAAAGAATACAGGTTAAATAGAAATTCCCAACAATAGTTAGCTCATCAAGACACATGCTACTTTGAAAGTGATGTTGATACATAACTTGAGATATTATTCAGTAAAATAAGATACATGTAAGATGTGTTTTCTCATGATTTAAAAAAAATCCCCTTTTAACAGCCATTTAGAAGGGGATGGCGTTTAAAAGCTAACTAAAAACCTGTTTCCTCATTGCAAAAAGGTAATTATTTAATGTCAGTATTTAGTACTGAAAATATGCATGGGTTTGCTGTACTAGTTTTTTTTTTAATGACTGTCTATCATTCACAGCTGTTAGTGTAGTTTGATGACTTACAGTTGCTTATATACTATATGCCTTCCCTATACTGATTGCTTTCAGTGTTTTGCAAAAGACTCCTCTTCTTTTTTTGTATAGAAATCTCAATATAGAATACCAAATGCAGTTTTGAGACCAGATTAGAGAGAGGGGAAAACCACGCATTCCAGAAAAACAGCTGAACATAAGTAACTTTCTATTTTTATTTATTGCCATGTTACTCAACATGGTAAAGGGACTAAAGCAATGCTATAAGCAAATGAGCCATTTTAAATCTGTCTAGCCTTTGCAACCCTTGCAGTTAGGGTAGCTGCAGTAACAAAAGTATACAAAATGCATTCTTACAGTAGTTTCTGTCACCATATGCATTACACTGCTGTAGTTGATGATTAATGAGGGGAAGGATGCAGCAATTCCAAGGTTTTTACATTAAATGACACTACCCAATTAACAATACACTGTTTAAAAGTAAAATTATAAAAATAGAGCTCAGTTGTCTGCAAACTTGCAGGAAAAACTTGCACTTCATTTACTGAAAAAGAGATTCCAGCTCATGAGTCGCCAGTAGCGTGTAATTTTTACAAAATCAATTGTAATTACATTGTTGTATTAACAGGCATTTTTAAACTGGTAAGGCTTTCAGGAACGCAGATCCAAAACCACATGCTGAAGTGTTCAGTGTTGCTTTCTTCTAAATGAACATCCTGTAAAGAAATTGCATGAATGTTGATATGAATAGTCCTTAAATGGTTAGACTGACTTGGAAAATTGCCCACCCAACTTAAGTATGAAAACTCACGCAGTAAGTTTAAATTTCATGTACCACAAGAGGCTGTCACATAACTGATCTTAAAATAAGGCTAAGGTGTACCATTTCTTCTGGATGCCTTTTAAAATTTGAGTCTACTGTTCCATCCTTTAGTGATACAAACCCTGAACTGAAGCAGCTGCTAGGAGTGCCGATACCTTTTCAACTGCTTCAGGTATTCTGTCCTCATATAAACTACAGGTGTGTTGTAGTACAGGGTATAAGTACTACTATATGTAGTTTGCATATACGTTTACCTTTTGTCCTTTAAACAAAACATTAATGAAATCCACATTTGTTCTTTAATTTTTTTTAAACCCTCAAGTGTTACCAGTGTCTTTCATACACCTCAGACACTGGGTTGCATTTCAAGATACTGGTGCAACATCAGTTATCTTTACATTAACTATCAGTGGTTATTTGCTCCCTTATGCTTTATACAAAATAAATTTTGATTAAGTAACATGAGCCATGGAACTACCTTACAGTACTACTGTTCAAAAACAAACAGGCAAGCTACCAGTGCCTAGCAGTGGCACAGAATTGCTTTAGTCTGGCAAAAGTACCCTACCCCTTTCACGGTGCTTTCACAGTCTCAACTTGGCTTAGAATTAAATAGGCAGTATTTATTACAGATAGGCTAAAGGAAATGATAAGTCAAAGCACTTAAAATCAAGTGTTTGATCACAATGTAGCTGCTTAGCTGCCTGGCATATCTGGATAGCCATTTAAAAACAAGCATCTGAAGAAAAATTTGCAATTTGGGGCCTATTAACAATGTTTTTACTAGCCAACTTTAAACAGTTTGCAAAATAAGCATTCCAATGTCAGTTCTCAAAATCAAAGCTAAAATAGTTGCAGGCTATAAGTAAATAAATGCATTTATGTAAGTGGAATGTTTACATTGCCCCTTACCTTCTGTGAGCCTGGCTTTCCCCCCAGTAGGCTGACACAGGACAGTTGAGCACCCTACACACAGAACTACTGTCTGAGCGTGGCTGAATACAGTGGTGATCTTGTAGCATCCTGGAAAACAACATTATTAAACTTTTCATTAAGTATTTCTACTATGATTTTTTTTATTCTATGCATAATTGTATCAGATACTCTAAATACACTTACCCCAAAATGGGTCTATGTTTAACTACAGAACATACCAAGTAAAACAAAGCAAAATGTTGTTATTGTGGTCTGAAGTACTTGCTTTTACTAAAATGCATATGAAAACACAGTAGTTAACTTAAACTGCTACAACTCCCCGTATGAAAATCAACACGGCCGGATGGCTGACAAGCCCCATAGTAGATCTCCTGCAAAGTCAAGGAGTTCTAGACCAGCCTTCTCTGCTGAACAGAAGAACCCATTTAGCTAGAGAAATATTTAACTTGTAATAGTAGAACATTGCTGTTGACAAAGTCTGGCAGCTGTGAATATAAACACTGCTGTTCAGATCTGTGTTTGCTTTCTGTTTAATAATTGGTACACATTAGGCATGTGCTTGGCTGAATTCTACAAAGCTAGCATCATATTTAAAAGAGAAGACCTGCACAGAATAACTTCACTAATTCCAGATCCAAGAACGGGCATCAGCAATGCTTTGTCTACAACTTTTAAATTCTATGACTTAAGAACGAACAAAATCACTCTCATACATGGCTTGGACAAAGGGATTTTCACTGCTTTCATTCTTTTCCCCGAGAAGTGTTTTTAATTAGCCAAGGGGAATTTTAGGAGAGAGAAAACTTGTAAAGAATTTAATGTAGATGTAGATATAAAAAATAGACAAATAGGTAAAGGTGAACATAGATTCTATTTTCAGCATGTGTGGACCAGAAAGGTAAGGTAAAATATATACATTGTGAGGAAGGTCCTCAGAAAGCTCTCTGACAAGAGAACTGGTTGGTAGAGAGAGCTCCCATTTGACAGCATAACAGATTTCTGCTTTGTTTAAATCGCAAATCGTAACTGCACAAACGTTTGCAAAAAACTGCTAGCAGCTAAAATTTAACCATAGCAAATGTTGTTGTCTACCCCATGAATGTGAACTTCCATGTTGAAGAGTTTTTACCTTTGTGGATTTTGCAGCGAAAGGAGCCCGATCCATTTCGGTAACTAGGTAGCAACTTCCAACAACATGGAATGATGCATAAGGCCGTCTGACATTTTCAGTGCCTCATGCTTAGGACTCCGTCATCACTGAAGCTTTCCTTGCTTTGCTCAATCCCTCAAACTCAATAACCAATTAATCCAATAATAATGACAATAACCAATGGCCTATGCACCTATGTTGACATTAACTGTATCTTAATATATACATGCATGTACACTGGTTTGAAGAAAGTTAAAAAAACCCCTTAAAACAGTGGTATAGCCTTCAACTATGTATTGTTTAACAGTAACCACATTTTACTTTCAAAGAGTTTTAATAAATTTACCTCACTTTTAGATGGAAAACAATGTCTCACAGCTTCTTAGAAACCTAAGCTACTAAGAAAGATTAAGATAATAAGAAAACCTGAATACAGCAACAATTCTCTGCTTCTAGTCAGGATGATCACTACTGTAAGTAAGTCTATGGATTTTCTAACTGCTATAATCTTGCACTGCAGCACTTTCTAGGAGGCAAGTTACCACACTTGCCAATTTCTGAGCCAAAGTAATGAAGATCTGTGAAAAGCGGACACAGGCGACACCTTAAATATAATCCTTGTAAATATGAGCTAGATGTCAGCTTACGTGACACCTTAACAGCAACACGTGCAAGAGGCAGTTGTTTATGTTTTACTTTTTATGTAAAGTCCCAGTATGCCTATGTATAGCCTCGTGAAAGTTTTTCCGGTTGCCCTTCCAGAATCAACCAACTTACAAATGAAGGAAAACAGTGTTGTCTTCTATTTGAAACTTGTGCCATGGATGCTTTAAAGCATCCATTTAATCTTGCTTCTTATACATGCAAATCTGGGAGTTTGGCTTTTTCCCTACTTGCCAGACATGCAGAAAAGAAAATTAAAAGCTGACTGTTTAAATTAACTTTTGAAAAAGGTTGAAACACTTGTATTGTTAAAAAACCCAAAGCAATATACAGACTTTTTTCCCCTCTGCAGAACAGGTAAACTACAAGTATTTACCTGGACATTTCACGTCCATAAAGTAGGAGTCTGGGCTCTGCCCCAGCCGTTTCTTTTTGTGCTTTCTCTTCTCGTCCTCCAGGGAGGGATGCACTAGGTCTTTAGCCAGCTGGGTGCGAAAAGAGGGAAGGCGCAGAGCACGTTAAACAGCGCTGGGGCTGCCTGGGCAGCC